TAAGGAATTATTATTATCATTAAAGTTGCGACAGCCTGGCGTGTCCTGGGGTTTCATCTGGCTGTAATGATAATGCCGGCTGTTGTTATTTTTGACGGGCTGATACTGGTCCCCATGTCTTCGAATGTCACTGCTGTTGGATCACGGCTACCGAAGGCCGGACGGGCGCTGGCAGACTTCCTCGCCGCCTCGTACCACGAGGCTCTTGAAAACGCCAGGGCGGCTGGCGCGCGGAGGAGAGATGCTATCAGGCGCAGGCAGCGCCGCTGCTCTCCTGCTGCATCGGTGCCAGCGGCTCTTTCCGGGCAGCTGCAGCAAAGGGCACCTTGAGCCCCCTCTGCCACCCTGAAGGCAGCCACCCCCCTCCTGGGCAACAGCGCCCCCTGGTGGCCTTAACTGCACACTGCAGCATCCCTGGCTATTGTTGTCGCTGCTGTCGCTGCTGTTGGTGTGGAGATGCAGGCAAGTGGCCGTGAACATCACGCTCGCTGCCTGTAAGACTATCTCCCCTGGCTCCCCAGAAGCACAGGGGGGCACAGGCCTCCCACTCATCCCAGACGTGCCTGGAATTTCTGCACCATGCGCACGGTGTGTTTGTCCGGGCTGATCCCCTGCCCCCAGGGGCAGTGCAGCTGTCCTCCCCTCTTTGGCACAGAACCTGTTTGTTCTGAAGAGCTGACGCGGTGGGTTAATGTTACCCCCAAATCCTTAGAAACGGATTATTCTGGGTTCATATGCGGTTGATGAGTCACAGCAAGCTCAGCCCTTTGTCTGGATCGCCACCGTGCTGTTGTCAGGGTGAGCTCTTTATCCCACGCGGCCGACCGTCCGAGTCATGAGCGAAGGGCTAAAAATGAGCCGAGTGCGAATGTTGCTGTTTCTGTTGCTGTGCTCATGTAAGGTACACGGTCAGAGAAACATTGCAGTGTCCTGTCATTACAGCGGATTTGGGGATGAACTGTAGGATCGGCTGTCTGGCCAGGGAGGTGGAGGGCAGGTCAGGGCTCCCTACCGCCTGGTCTAGCCCAGCCCAGTGTAGTGACCACTGCACTCGGTACTGCACTCCCCGGTCACCCTGGTCCTGGAGGGCTTACAGTCCAGCTCAGGCCTTAAAATACCTTATTCCCACCAGCTGTCGGCTTAACCGGACGGTTTGTCCAGTATTCCCAGTTCCTTGTGCAGGGAACACGACTCCGGTGGCTCCGGTGTGGGCTGGGCTGTGCTTCTCCCGAGCCCTCGCTTGCAAAGGGGGTGCAATTATTTCATTAACTGCATGACTGTAAAAACATCTAAGCTTTCAGTTGCACATGACTTGAGTGATTGGTTGATTGGTGATTGGATGAAGAAAAGTCCTGTACAAGTCTAAGAAAGACGGTTGGATGTGTGGTGGACGATACCAGGCCCTGGTCCTAATTTAAGGAAACCTGTAAAACCTGCTGGCCTGCTCTCATGGCCGCGCCCAGCCCCTGCCATGCAACAGCGCTGACCCTTTCTCCGTCCGCGGCAGGTGTGGCAGATCCCTGACCACGCGCCGGTGCGGCCCCTGACGGAGCCCATCGTCACGCTGGAGGGGCACTCCAAGAGAGTGGGCATCGTGTCGTGGCACCCCACTGCCCGCAACATCCTCTTGACTGCAGGTACGAGGCCCCCAACCGCCAGCACGGAGAGCTCTGGTTGCACCGGTAACCGTACCCCTCTGATTAATCCTGACCCCAGGCCTTCTTCGTGACCCGACCCCTAACCATGCGTCTCGCCTAGGGAGCTGCAATCAGGGGTTGAAACAAAAGTTAGGAATACATGATAGCTCTGGAGTTTTAACTTTGAATATGAGGTTTGAAAGTTTCAGAAGTTGGAATGTCTACTATAGGATTATAATACAATCAGAGTTCATCTAGACTTAGGTAGGACTCACCCTGCTCCACTCTCCTTCAAGGCAGTGACAATTTGATCATAATCTGGAACGTGGGGACAGGGGAGCCCCTCATTTCCCTGGATGACCACCCCGACCTCATTTACAACATCAGCTGGAACCGCAACGGCAGCCTGCTCTGCACCACCTGCAAAGACAAGAAGGTCCGCGTCATCGACCCGCGCAAGAGGGAGGTGATCGCGGTAAGGACGGCCCGTCTGCTGCCGCTCCCGCCTGCGTTCTGAAGGCTCTGGCTCACCCGCGCACTGGCTCACCCGCGCACTGGCTTGCTGCATCCGCAACTGCATGAGGTCGTGCCCACCTGGGGCGGGGTGGGTTTGCTCACGCTTGGACGGACAATATCGTTGCGGTTTCGCCTGCTCTCGTGTCGGGCCGAGCCGACTGCTCTGGATGCTGGCTCTCCACAGGCCGACTCCCACCTGGCAAAAGAGGTGACCTGCAATGGGCTTGAAACATCTGCTGCAGAGGTGGATTTACTATGACGGGGCACCTGCATGAGAACATTCCCCTTGGCTTGCCTGTACGGCTCTTGAACTCACCTGTACATACAGAGCTTTGCCACACCTGTTCTGGTGTGTTTTCCATCTTCACCACAGCCCACCCCACTTGTGCAGGAAGTGCTTTGGCAGCACCTGTCCTTCCTGGAGAAACTTTCCTCCGCTCCACCCCTGCTCGGAGAGCGTGCGCAGCTGTGTCTCGGATCCATCCCTGCTCCTGTCCCTTCCCCAGTACCGGAGAGGTCCCGTAGTCTCCTGGCTCCTTGCAGCTGAGCTCCTAGTTACCGAACTGGACCCTAAAACAGGCGTTCAACCTGTGACTGTGATAGAACAGGTTGGACACCTCAAACTGCAGAGCCAATGCTCGGTGCAGATCGCCTTGGGCCTCCTAGACAAAGCTGAGCTCTGGGCTCTGGGCCGCAGGTCAACAGAGACGGACGTTCCTCCCCTTGGGAGGACAGCCGCAGCCTGGGTGCCTGGCGTGTCTGTCTCAGGGGACACGCGGGGCATGAGGGGTGTGGTTTGTGCCGCTCGGTGTGGGGGGACACTCCTCAGCAGGGCGTTGCTGGAAGGGAAGGGTGCGATCGGAGACACAGCCCGGCACGGCCTCTCCTGCCCGCTCTGGAGCGGACGCCTGGCGCTGGCATGCACTCACAGCTGACCGGTTTGAGTTGTGTGTCTGTTTCTCTCCCGAACTTCGCTGCCTAACCAATGGGAGCAGGAGAGGGAGCGGGCGCACGAGGGCTCTCGGCCAATGAGAGCGCTGTTTCTGTGCGACGGGAAGGTCATCACGACGGGGTTCAGCCGGATGAGCGAGAGGCAGCTGGCCCTCTGGGACCCGGTATGGCCAGGGCGCGCAGCAGGGTGGGCGCGGGGGGGTGGGTGCACGGCCCCCCCCCCCCAAGGGTGACACTACAGTGCTGAAGGTCCCGAAACGAGCGCACGCACACTCCCGGGTGTGCAGGTGGAAACCGTCTCTCTCGCACAAACACACGTGGGACTGAGCACTGAGATCATTGCCCTGAGACGCCACCCTGAGCAAAGATGGCATCTTTGATAGCTTTTCATTTGTATTGTAGCTGAACCCAGTGCACAAATGAAGAAATCTCTTGTCTTTCTCAAGAGAAACTGTGCACTTATTTCTGAAGAAGTGACACAAATCCACTCAGGCTAGCTCCCCACCGCCAAGGTGCTCTCTCACCTGCACCGCTGCTTGCTCTGCACTTACCACACGGGGTGCGGCTCCACCAGCAGCCACCAGGTGGGGCTGTTTCCTTTGAGAGTCTAAGTGCATGAACTCAGGGTGAGCCTGGGAGGAGGGAGCATCTTCCTGTGTTTGACTGCAGTTCCTCCATTCTGTGTCGTCCTGTTTGGAGAGCCGTGCCTTGAGAGACCTGTGCAGTGCCGACAGTAAACGGATGAAGAGAGGTAACGGTGTGTGTGCGCAATTGCGCGTCTCTGTGTTGTAGGAGAAGCTCACCCCCCACGAGGGCATCAGGCCCATGCGTGCCATATTCACCCGGGATGGCAGCATCTTCACCACCGGATTCACCCGCATGAGCCAGAGGGAGCTGGGGCTCTGGGACCCGGTAAAACTGCACTGGCCCCCGCGTGGGGGCCCACCGCCCAGCTGGGCGAGCTTGGATCACTAACCACGCCCTGGCGCGGGCGCCCAGGGGGCAGGACGATGCCCTTCGGCGTGCAGCGCCTGTGCCAACCGCATGCCGTGCTTGACTCACTTATCCGTCTGGACCTTGCATTAGGACCGCCCGCTGTCTGTGGTGGGTCAGCAGCTTTCAGCTTTCAGGACAAACTGTAGGACACTAACACCCCACTGGAGAAGGATTGCTAGAATTTAAAGTTTTGCAAGATTCAGAAGTTGATTTCTTCAGTGCTGTGCACGGTTTGCTGTTGTTTGTGGAGATCTGTATATCTAATCTTTGGCTATACAAATAGCTGGAAAACAAGAAGGAGTTTAGAAAACGTAAGACTTGCAGGACAATGCCCGTTATACAACTTTCTTTCTTTCTTTGGGTGATTATTTAAAACCTTTAACAGAGCTTGAGAATACCTAGTACAGCGTATCTCGTTATCAAAGATGCTCTTTATTCAGTAATTGAATCCCTCCATCATGAACTGTGATGTTTCCATTCCAGGCACCTGTAGTGTGTGTGAGAACACTGTTCTTCGCATCTGACTCTCTGCTCTGAATCCATCTTCCTCACCCTTTTTCCTGCACCTGTCCTCACAGTCTTCACCCCCTCCTCTGCCCTCTTTCACTTCCTCCTGGTTGCCTGTCGAATTCCTCTCCTGCTCCTCCTTCCTCTCCGTCGCCCTCTGTCCCTCTCAGTGCTCACCTGCCCCTCTCTCTCCTCCAGGCGAATTTCGAGGAGCCCATTGCCCTGCAGGAGATGGACACCAGCAATGGAGTGCTGCTGCCGTTCTACGACGCCGACACCAACATCGTCTACCTGTGTGGGAAGGTGAATTCCTCTCGTACCCGTTCTTAGATCTGCTTCGCTGTCCTGATGCTGCCGGCTAATTCCTCGCCCTCCCCCTCTGCCTCGCAGGGGGACAGCAGTATCCGGTACTTTGAGATCACCGACGAGCCTCCCTACGTTCACTACCTCAGCACCTACAGCAGCAAGGAGCCTCAGAGGGGCATGGGCTTCATGCCCAAGAGAGGCCTGGACGTCAGCAAGTGTGAGATTGCCAGGTCTGTCTGTCTGGATCACCCGGCCCTCTCTGTCTGTGTGTGTACAGTGTGAGATCACCAGGTCTGTCTGTCTGTCTGTACCCACCCAGCCCTCTCTCTGTCTGTGTGTGTACAGTGTGAGATCACAAGGTCTGTCTGTCTGTACCCACCCAGCCCTCTCTCCCTCTCTCTGCCTGTGTGTGTACAGTGTGAGATCACCAGGTCAGTCCATCTGCCTGTGATCCAGTTAGTCATCATGTTTGTTACTGTTTGTATTTTAGTCAGTGGTCACGTCAGTCAGTGTGTCTGTTAGTATTCCAGTTAGTGATCCAGTCTGTGTGTCTGTCTGTTATTTCAGTCACTGATC